CAGTCAAACTAGAAATAATAATAATATATTTAATATATTCTATCCATTGTTTTCGAAAAATATCAGGAATATTTGAAATATTGGAAAATGGTTTCATGCAACGCTAACCAAAATTGTTGATTGCTATTCAAATGTTTTATCCGCTCACGTGTTTTTTTAGAGGTATAACCGTTCTATTATTTCCCAAATAACATTGCCATTTGCGTCATACTTTAATAATACTGTCGCTATATAGTTTGAAAAACATTTGTTAAATAATGTATGTTATATACATTTCAATATTTTTTTGACACATTTGCTTCTAGTTTTAGTAATTGTACAAGTTCTTAAAATGAAAAACTAAAAATTAGAATTATTTTAGAAAAAATGGGTCATATCCATAATGAATTATCAGTATAATTTTCATATGTATGCAAAATATTAGGTAAAAATAATGATTTATTTAATTTATAATGTAAAGGTGATCTCCCAAAAATACTCACACTAAAAGAAATGGCGGAGTTACAAAGGAAACAGGGTAATTATACGTTTTTTTTATACAATGTAGAGTAGAATGTGTATATCTAAAGAATTAAACTTAATTTCAAATATATCATATAATATATGCATACAATATTTTGAAAATGTTTATATTTCTAAACAAGCATCCAGTATTAGTCCTGACTACAATTATTGTCGCAATAATGGAAATTTGACTACCTAAAGTATAGACAAGAAATATTAATAATTATCAAATTGTTTGTCACATATATTTCAAGATGTATTTGAAAATAAATTTAATTCATTAGAAGAATATATATTATTCTACATTGTGAAAACAGTATCATACAACAGATAATAAAAGGTTTTTTACAATCACTTAAAGTTGGCAAAACAATCATTTAAATAGCATTACATGTTGGTTTAGATATGTTGGTCCAAATAGGTACACCCTGGATAGCGTAATAGAATAGAAATCATTCATTATCTTTCTTCGAGTGCTATAATGTGTAAATACAAAAGTAATCCATAAAAAAAAAATCTTTCTCAGAGAAAGTCGAACGAAAAATAGTTTGTCATACATATCTATCTTATAAACTATTTCATAATAATATTAGCTAATTAGAATTAGACATATTTCTCTATACCTATTGTTAAAACTATATTTTCTAAAAAAAAATTGAAATATGGAAATTTTGAAGAGTATATAGTATACTTTTAGACATTTAAAAATGTTTTGAAACATTATAGAGATAAAAGTTATACTAGACCAGATAAGTCAATAAAATTCAATAGGGGTTTAATTTTTTTAAGTAAAAGCTGCACTAAAGTACAAACAAATTTTTTGATACTCACTTTGTGTGTCTGTTCCGACAAAAGCAATATTTATCTTCAGTAAATTAATTTTTATTCGTTTATTTTGAACCTTTTTATATAATTTAATGATCATATTTTTAATAACACAGTCAAACTAGAAATTAATGTGCCCGTATATTAACCATAGTTTTAGTTGGAAAACTTTGTAGGTTTTGGACAGTAACTTAATTACATTAATTTAAGGATTAAATATAATATTTTAAACTTTTACCCATTGTTTTCATAAATATCAGGAATATTTGTAAACGCTAATCAAAATTGTTTATTCTTAACAAAACGTTTTATCCGCTCACATGTTTTAGAGGCATAGCCGTTCTATTATTTCCCAAATAACATTGTCATTTGCGTCATACTTTAATAACACTGTTTCTATACAGTTTGAAAAACTTTTGTTAAAAAATGTATGTTATACACAATTGAATATTTTTTTGACACATTGCTTCTAGTTTTAGTAATTGTACAAGTTTTTAAAATGACAAACTAAAAATTAGAATTATTTTAGAAAAAAGGGTCTTATCCATAATGAATTATCTGTATAATTTTCATATGTTTGCAAAATATTTGATAAAAATAATGATATATTTATAATGAAAAGGTGATCTCCCAAAAATACTCACACTAAAAGAAATGGCGGAGTTACAAAGGAAACAGGGTAATTATACGTTTTTTTATACAATGTAGAGTAGAATGTATATATCTAAATAATTAACTTATTTTTAAACATATCTTTAAATATATGTATATTATAGTTTGAAAATGTTTATACTTCTAAACAATCATCCAGTATTAGCCCTGACTACAATTATTGTCGCAATAAAGAACAAATCGTTTACCTAAAGTTTAGACGAGAAATATTAATAATTATCAAATTGCTTGTCACATATATTTCAAGATGTATTTGAAAATAAATTTAATTCATTAAAAGAATGTATATTATTCTACATTGTGAAAACAGTATCATACAACAGATAATAAAAGGTTTTTTACAATCACTTAAAGTTGGCAAAACAATCATTTAAATAGCATTACATGTTGGTTTAGATATGTTGGTCCAAATAGGTACACCCTGGATAGCGCATTAGAATAGAAATCATTCTTTATCTTTCTTCGAGTGCTATAATGTGTAAATACAAAAGTAATCCATAAAAAAAAAATCTTTCTCAGAGACAGTCGAACGAAAAATGGTTTGTCATACATATCTATCTTATAAACTATTTCATAATAATATTAGTTAATTGGAATTCCACATATTTTTCTATATCTATTGTTAAAACTATATTTTCTAAAAAAAAATTGAAATATGGAAATTTTAAAAAGCATATAGTATACTTTTAGATAATTAAAAATGTTTTGAAACACTATAGAGATAAAAGTCATACTAGACCAGATAAGTCTATAAAATTCAATAGGGGTTTAATTTTTTTATGTGAAAGCTGCACTAAAGTACTAAAAAATCGTATAAAACATAATTCCTATTTAAGCTCGTTTAATTTTTATTGTTTTTAAATACTATTATGTCAATTTAAAGGTAGCAAACATTAACTTATATGTATAATTTGTTGTATTATAGCTGGCGATAAAAAGCATTCAGGTATAGTATAGACTAGAGCTACCGATTACACATGTAATTCGTGTGGTTCGAATTGACGTGTAGAAGTTCGTGTAATTATAAGTACACGTGTACCTGCAACTACATGTATTCTTAAAACTGTAAGTTTTAATAAGACCTCTTATTTACGTAATACTACTCTTTAATTAATGGTGGTCACTTAGATATAGTATTAAAGCCATTGGGTCAAGTTAGTGGAATCTAGAGTCCTATAAGTGTATTAATTACACGAACTTCTAAACGTCTGTTTGCGCATAGGATCTTACGGGAAGTTGAACTAAAAGTAAGTTAATTTTGCACTAACAACGACTAGTGGACTGTATCATTATACTATATAAAATGTATTATTTTTCTTACACAACGGAGCGGCATAGTCGAGCTTGCCCGAGTTCGCGTGGCTAAGCTTATACATTAACTAAACCGGTCCTAACAATAACGCGTACTAACGGTCTAGCCGATTACGATAAAAGGTAGAAGGGAGCAAACTCAACAACGTCAATTCGAACTACACGAACCTTGTCCTACATGTGTATTTAAAATACACGTGTAGAATCTTCGGTCCTAGTATAGACCGTAGAGTTACCTAGTGTGAACCCTTTTCCTAACACTATAAGTTCAAACCACCAGGAATACATGAGATGTGTTAATATTTATTTACTGGAATAAGTATAGTATCCCTCTTAACAGTTTTAAAATCGTGTAAAAAATGTTATATTTAAAGCTATTAGTTTCTTACATATTCACTATTAAAAATGTTTTATTATTAAAAATTCTCAAATATATAAAAAATGTAATTTTGTTTGTTAGGATGGAGTTTAGTAAGAAATGGTATGTTGTTCGTCACTTATTACTTTGTTTCATTTAATTTTGTTTGCACAAATGAACTATGGTACCAAAAATATTGACGAAGAAAGCTAATTTATCTTGGACATCTTAAATCTGTTGTTCATTTATTTTGAAATGTTCGATTATTAATAGTTCTATAATCGAATATATTTGAAACAAATATATCATGTTGTAAAATATATTGTAATTTATTATATTATAATAATCACATATTTTATGTTCATGTACATTGTGCAATATTTCAAACTTGACAATCAATTAACAGCTTTTAATAAACCCTGTTTCAAAAATGTGACCCACTTTTACTTTAAACTAATTTAGTGTGATATTATTTTCATCAAGTTATATACCTAGGCATAAAGGTTAGCATAGTTGTGCTATTTCGATTAAATTTCATCATTTAAAAATGAGCACTAATTAATTTGGTGTGTAATCTTCGTTATATTTTAAAATACCTAATACTTTATTTGCTTAAAAGCTAGCGGATTGGTCGAAATCTTTGGATGTGGAACGCCTAAGACAACAGAAACAACCGACGTTTCGAGCTCTTCCAAAAGTAATAGTTACATATGTTTTAAAGATAATTATTTTACATAAAAAAGTTAAACGTTTTTATTAGGTGATTCACTTGTATAGTCTTAAAACATAAAATGGCATCGTTTAGCATTCAATATGGTTCACTATATTTTGAACTTGATTGAAATTCGAAAACACAGTTTTCGTTTGCGCTGTATAGGCGATTGCATTAGTCGAATTAGCAAATGTCCCTTTTTCATATAATGGAATTTATTATTTTCTTCCAAGGAAATTCCTTGACCGCGTCTTGATAATGTCGTACCCTTTTTTTATATACTTTAATATAAATTATATTATTATATATTACATATTTTATGTTCATGTATATTGTGCAATATTTCAATCTTGACAATTAATTAGCAGCTTTTAATAAACCCTGTTTCGAAAATGTGACCCACTTTTACTTTTAACTAGATTAGTGTGATGTTATTTTCAACAAGTTATGTACCTAGGCATAAAGGTTAGCATAGTTGTTCGACTTCGATTAGATATCATCATTTTGTGCTCATTTACAAATATGTACTAATTAATTTTAATTTATAATCTTCGTTATATTTTAAAATACCTAATACTTTAATTGCTTAAAAGCTTGCGGATTTCGCGAAACCTTGGGATGTGGAATGCCTAAGACAACAGAAACCACTGACGCTCCGAGCTCTTCCAAAGGTAATAGTTACTTGAAATTCGAAAACACAGTTTTCGTTTGCTCTGTATAGACGATTGCGTTAGTCGAATTAGCAAATGTCCCTTTTTCATATTATGGAATTTATTATTTTCTTCCAAGGAAATTCCTTGACCGCGTCTTGATAATGTCGTACCCTTTTTTTATATACTTTAATATTAATTGTATTATTATATCACATATTTTATGTTCATGTATATTGTGCAAGAAAGGCAATGATCTTGAAAGGTATAGTATAGACAGTAGATTTAGCATAGTTGCCTAATGTGCACTTTCTTTATTATATTTGTAAAATTTAATAATTAATTTTCTGTATACAATTAACTTAGTTCTTTTTTTATTAAAAAGGTTTTAATGTTAAAAGTCCTCAAAAAAATAAATTCGTTTTTTTTGTATTTTAGCGCGTCCTCCGCGCATAAAAGAATCAAACAAAGGACCTTGTACATGTTTTGTAGGTAAGTATACTAAGTTCATTACATATTTTTAAAAATAATTTTTTTAATTAAAATAGTTATCCTTATTAATTTGGTGATTCACTTATACATATAACCTATTTTTTTCTTTGAAGAGAATTCCTTGACAACTGTGGTCCATCGTAATGAAACTTGTCCTCTACTAATACTACTGTTTGAATTTAATTATTATGATTGTCATTATATTTTAAAATATAATATTTTGTTAATCATTTTCATATATAATATCAGTTAATATAATAACGTTTTGTATCGTGTTTAGAACTTCCTGAGAGAGACCAAATTAAGTTGTTAACATTAATTCTGTATACCATTAAGTCAATTATTTTTCTTATCATTGTCTTTTTCCCCATGTGATTTTCAACGAACTCTTTCTCTAACACTATAAGTTGAAACCACCATCATGACATGAGATGTGTTAATAATCTTCTACAGGAATTAGAATAGTATCCCGCTTAACTGTTTTAAAATCGTGTAAAACATGTCACATATAAAGCTATTATTTCCTAACATATTCACTATTAAAAATGTTTTATTGTTGATATTTCTTAAATAAATATGAAATGTTTTTTTTCTTTTTTAGGGAGTGAGGTTTTATCAGAAGATGGTATGTTTTTACAAAAAATATATATATTTGATTCATTGATATTTGTTTGTGCAATTAAACTATGGTACCAAAAATGTTGACGACAAAAGCTTATTTTTCTTGGACGTCTTAAAACTTTTGTTTGTTTGTTTTGAAATGTTCGATTTTTTTTGAAAAAATTTAATGTTGCTGTATTATATTTTTTTAAAACACGACGAACTTGACAAAAATTAACAGCTTTTAACAGACCTTTGTTTCAAAATTATGACAGACCTTTACTTTGAACTGGGTTAGTGTGATGGTATCATCAATAAGTTATGGACCGGGGCATAAAGGTTAACAAAGTTATGCAAATTCTGTTAAATTTACACAATCCATGCGTGTGTGATGATTGAAATTCGAAAATCCAGTTCTGTTAGCCCTATAAATACGTTTGCGTTTCCGAGCATTTCTTATTTGCGTATCAGTTAAGTTAAGGGAATTCCTTGACCACGTTTTGATAACGTCGTTAAAACGTTACCTCGCTGTCTGCTGTAATAAAACTTATTCTCTGATATTACCAATTTAATTATATTACTATTATTGTCATTATATATTAAAATATTATATTTTGTTATTCATTGTCATATGTAATATTAATTATAATAATATTTTTGTATTGTGTTTAGAACATGCTGCGAATGAATGTGTGCTTAGCAATTTCCCATTACATAACTTTCGCCATTGTCGAGATTGTCCTTATCATTAATCATAAGGTAAACTAATCTAATCGTTACATAGATTATTACATACATATATAGTTCTTATACTATAAAATATCATTCCTTAGAGATTTTTTGTAAATACAAAACACAATTAATTTACATTGCTTTTTTGTAACATTATACGAACTTATTCTATTTGAGCTATGAATTAATAAGAATTTTTTTTTTTTTGATAGAAAGAATTTAATGACAACAATCCAATTTCGCAGAAATATACAGTTTAAAATAAATATAAATGTAGAAAATTAAATTGTGTAAACTATTACTAAACAAAAAATATATATTTCAAGGATTCATAATAAACTTCTTCTATCTGGCAAATTTAAAATGTATTGTTTTGCTTTAGTGTAAGTTTGTCTAGATAAATCGATGGATTAAATTAAAAATAATAATTGTGATTGGACAAGGCGCTTTGAATGTGACATATTATTTTTTAACACTCGGTATATCACTCGGTTTTAAGTTTAATTATATGATTTAAGCTCGAAGGTTCGGCGAAAATATAAAAGTTTATGAATCGATACACGCAATTTCAATAACAAAATAGTAAATAACTAATACAGTTTACATAAAGCTTATAAATCTAATATTCCACCCGTTAACAATTTCAAATTTAAATATATATATATTGTGCCATAGTTAACCATAGTTTTAGTTGGCCAAATTTGTTTATTTTGGAGAGTTATATAATCACCTTAAATTATAGGTTTAATAATATATTTAACATTTTGACTTGTTGTGTTCGAAAAATATCAGAAATATTTAAAATATTGGAAAATAATTTTACGCAACGCTAACCAAATTTGATTATTGCTAACGAAAATATTTAATCCGCACACGTGGTTTTTTAGATGTATGAATGTTCTGTTATTTTCCAAATAACATTGCCATTTGCGTCATATATTAATAACACCTTTGCTGTATAGTTTGAAAAACATTTATTATATAATGTATATTATATCTATTTAAATGTTTATCGATACAAACGTTTCCATATTATATAATTGTAAATGTTTATAAAAAGAAAAACTAAATTAGAATCATTTTAATAAAAGAGAGTCCCTCCCGTCTCTACTATGTCCGGACCCCACTGTACGGACTTTTTACCTTTTATTCGACTATTTTGTATACATTTTGTACACACAATTGTTTTATTAGCAAGTCTACCAATCAGTAATCATTTTGTTTTGTATGTGCTTTGGGGGAGGGGGGGGGGTTGTTAAATTGGAAAAAGTTTTTGATAAATGTTAAATGTAATACATAAAATTGCTGTTCGTGATTTGGTGTTAAATACCACATGAGTTTTGCGTATATTTGAATAATCCAAGGGGAAACGACGAAAAGGTGTTAACACCAACAGCGGGACCGGTACCAATACATAATTTGTTTTTGTATTTGGTCGTATGTTGTGGAAAAAAATTTGTAAATATTTAAATTCTGTACGTGAAATTTCGATGAATTTTATTTTTTACACCACAATTGTAACATATGCGTTAAAACATGTTGATTTTGGTATTACGTACATTGTTTGTCATTTATATATGACCAACAAGTAACTGTGTGAATAATTCAGTACCTAACTGTTTTTCCCTTATTTCGATAAATAATTTGTATAACACATTCACACTGTGATTTTAGTACGATCCGGTGTAATAAAATAATATTAAATTCTTTTAAAAGTCAAATAATTTAGTAGATCAAAACTGTAAAGCTAAAAAAGTTATAAAAAAAAAATTAAATCATTTAAGATAGTTTTAAAGTTGTTAAGTACCCTTTGAAAACATTTCAAATATAAAGCCAAAATCAGATAATTCACACTACGATACCATCAATCATTTAAATCAATTGTTGTTGTAGATGTTAAATTGTTAAAACAAGTAGTTTTTATACAACTATAAATAAACCCTAACCACAATAAAAATTTACTTATTTCACTCATAAGTATATTTTTGTTGTGTGAATTGAACCGCAATAAAAAAAACTGTTTAATTAAACCATTATTATTCATATGTATTGAAAAAGCGCAGTAGAGGTCTGGTCAACGGTTTTATATAATGCGGTGATGTTTTTGTTTTGTTTTATTATTACATTTTAGTTATATATATACATACGTTTAACGTGTCAAACTTAATAAATGTGTAACTCTAATTGTGAAATCACTCTACTAATTGTAAGTATAATGTAATGTCATACGAAAAACCAGTAAACCAGTAAATATATAATGTATATACTAGCTGCGTTAGGAGGCGTAACTCTGGTATAAATATATAATAATTAATTAATAGTAATTGGAAGTGAGTAGAATTTTTAAAAAAATAATTTTTTATATTTTGTTAATAATATTACAACAATTTGTTTGTGATCTGAGATGGAATATTATATTTCTAGAATTACACGAATACTGTACATCCCAATCATGTGTTAGGCGTAAAAACTACTTTAGGAACGTTCCATAACTTTCTGGATTTTCCTTGACAAAAACTGTATCATTCTCGAAGAGTAAGCGTAATTCTATTAAAGAGTTAAGGGTAAAAATTACTTTAAGAACGTTCTAGGACGTTCCGTAACTTTTTCGAAAATGTCTGAACTCTGTAGAAATATTTGGAACATTCTCGATGAGTAAATATAGATTGCGTAGTGAATTGTACGTAAGTAGAATAGGAAAGTGATTTGTAGCTTGCTCAGTAAATATGCTTTTAGTTTTATTTAACAAAAATGTGAAGTTGAGCAAAATATTTTTTATAAAAAAAAAAAAATGTGATGTTACAATAGTATGTATCATTATAATGTATTATTCTATGCATTCAGTTAAATAAAATAATTATGATAAATGCATTTGATATCTATATATTACAAATTGCTACGCAAATTTTTTTTTCTACGTCTATGCGGCTCAACATAAAATACTGATGATTTTTTTAATTTTCTAAAATTAAAATGTTTCAGCATATTACATGCTATTACAAGTTTTCTTACGCTCTAATTACATATTACAAATTAAGTTACTAATTACAATTAGTTTATGTTATTGTGATAATGATGTTTTCATGTTGATATTAGTTAATAGGTTATTTTAGTAGTAGTTTAAAGTTGATCTTCATCTTCACTTGAACCTGATAGAAGAAGATCTTGCGGTAGACGTGGTTTTAAACGCCGATTTT